TGTAATTAAATGCTTGTTTTCCCAAGTCGCGTGTCAGCAAGGTCATGCGGGCTTTCTGTTTCTGATGTGACACAATATGCCACACGTCCATTCCTCATTGGCTGTGGCCCCTGCCTTTCTATGCTTTCTGATACCAATTGTGTAAGACGAGGTCATGATAGCTAACCTAGCCTAGCCTAGGCTAGTGACCAGTGCATCAATAACCTCTGCTGGAGCAGAGAACTTCATCATGGATGAAAAGAGGTACATCTCGGAACCGAGGAAGAGGTACATCTTGAATCCGAGAGGGGGGGAGGCCTAGCGACCGATGTACCATATCAGACTGAGGGTACGTGTCAGTACATAAAAACGTATTGGATGCCACTCGATCCATGATAAGTACATCGGGGTAGAGGGGACTTGTGACCCCCGATGGGTACGTGATCTTCGATAAACAAGGATCAGTGACACCGAGGACACGTGTCTTCATCTTGGAGTATTCCGGAAATGTCCCATCAACCTCAGTGATGTCTACAAGGTATGTCACTGCATAGTTCTTTATTTTCTCAGCAACTGAAGCCAACACCTCATCCATGTGCATGCATGTTTCGTCCCAGTCGTGGCCGAATCGGATGACGACGAGGCGTTCCTCTTCGCCGAGAATGGCTTTATCGACTGCCCATCCTGAGTGAAGGTGTTGTAGCAAGTACGACATCTTCACCTCTACAAAGATGACGACAAAGAAGAAGATGAAGAAGGCGAAAAATATTGCGGCAAAACAACGAAACAATGAGACCTCGTTGACAACTACAACACAAAAACCAAGGACGGAGGCGTGTTTGGGTTGAAGCCCAAAGTAACCAAAAAAAAAAAAATTATCACTTTCATACAAGCCTACCAATCCACTAAAAACATTCCATCCAACCCAAAGCAGCCCACCCAACGCAGCCCACTAAAAACATCCCAACGGCTACTTGCAAATTCTTCAAAATCAGTCTCTTCTCTCTCTCTCTCTCAGACTAGTCTCTCTTAGTCTCTTCTCTCAGTCACTTTCCCCAAAATCATATATGTCTCTCTGTCTCTAATTGTTTGATTTTTCTCTTTGTTCAAATGCCGCCAACAATCTATTCAATCAAATACCCTTGAATCACACACATATCTGTTTTTCAGGCAACTGTTCGAATCAAATGCCGCCCACAAGTTGTGCCGCTGTTGTCTTCGTCATTGGTGTTACAATGGGGAAATAAATGGTTGAGGATTGAAGGCGGAAAAAGCAGGTAACAGGATTTTGATTGCATGATTTAGTGGACACTCATTCTAACGATGAACCTCTTTATTTGTGGCTTTATTAGTTCTGTGGGGCATTTTTATATAGTAGTGCTAATTCCATATTATTTGAGTGATTTTTTTTTTGTGTGGCTGAATCAACTTTAATAAAGTTGGTAAATTTATGGGTAGGGAGCTCTCTATTGTTATATTATATGGTAGAACATAAGGTGTGGAAGTGATGGAGCTAATCAACAATTCAATGAGTAATCTTTAGGATAATGTCAGCTTGTCAAAATATTGTCATTTGGGGTTAGGAACAAGTGATTTTTAGTCAGTGAAATGACTAAAAACATGATGAAAAATATACCTTAGAGATTGACATATGAGTATAATAAAAAAAAATGTTTAGCTTAACTTGAGATAAACAAAAATCTTGGCTCCGCCCTTGACAAAAACCTATTATAGTTCTTATATAATTATAAGGATAGGAGTAAACCCTTTGTCATATTTATATCTATATTTATATTATATTATACTACTTTTAAATGTCAACAAAAGTGAATAACTTTTGTTTAACCAAAATACTCTCAACAAAATAGTTAATGTTTATCCTATTTTTTCTATAGTTAATAACATTATTAAATTATATATAATTGACACACTTATGTGGACCTTTGAGTTGCAATACACCTTTTGTATCTTTTATATACCTTTTGATAGCTTATTGATATTGATATGAACTTAATTACGTATAGAGGTAATTAACTCCTAATGCAATTGCAATAGATGGGTCTATCTTTTCATCTTCTGCCATCATGGTAATTAACTCTGATGTTTCGTTTGATAAAAAAAATGAAAAGTAAGAAAGATGAAAAACAGGAGGAATACATTTTCTATTTTTCAAAAAAGAAAAATAAGAATGCTACACTTTCCTTCCTTGTGTTTAGTAGGATGGATGAAAAATAAAAATAATTAATTTTTTTTTTTGTTCTTATTAAGATTAAGAGTAACAATTAAGTTGTGTCGTGTCAGATTTGTGTTGAGTCATTACGAGTTTGTGTCGAATATTAGTCAAATCTAATTCAACTCATTTAACTAATTATGTTGTGTCGTGTCGAGTTGCGAGTTGATGTTTATTTTCGTGTTGTGTTCGTGTTCATATTCGTTTTAACCCTCATAAACTTTGAATAAAAAATTTAACGATAATATTCTATTTTCACTTAATTGAATTTATGTTAATATTTTTTCTATAAACTAAAAATTAACTTAAATAAATATAATAATAATAAATAAAAATATCTTTTTTATATAATAATTATGTCAGTACTTAATAAATAGTTACAAATAATTAACATTTTATGTTTATAATACTAATTAAACATATTAGTTTCGTGTTAATTTCATATTACCATACAAACAAGAAAATAGAGAAAACGTTTATTTTTAAATAAACAGGTTGATAGTGCCAATTTTGATTTTAATGGGTTGAACTGAATATGAGCTTTTTATATTTTTTGTTCGCTTGTTATGTCATTTTCAAGTTTATGTTGAGTTATAATCAAGTTCATGTCATAAAATTCGTGTTGAGTTCGAGTCGTGTCATTGCATTGAGTCAAAATTTTCACCCCTAACTAAGATGAAAAAAAAATATATTTTTGTAATTTAAAATTTTTTAAAATATATATATGAATATATATTTTATCATTATATTTTTATATGAAATTCATATATACATAATATATTAATATATCAAAAGATATATAGATAAATAAGATTCATATCAACACAAATAATTAATTTTTTATCCACTTTTCTTCCGATTTTGGAGAGATTGATTTTGATGAATTGGAAGAAAAGTTAATCCATCTATTTTCTCACCCTTCATATTTTTTTTCTTACCAAACATGATGTTTTATTTATTATTATAATTTTTCATTCTTCCATTTTTTTATCATACCAAATGGAGCATAATGCTCATCCTCTTCTACCATAATTTTCTTCCGCTTCACATTCCTCTTCCCAAATTGTCAAGCTCCATCCACAATGAACATAGCCTACCTTGTAAAATTCAAGATAGTTATTGTTAGGGGTAGAAATCACGTGTTCGGATCTCATCCCTGAACACCAAGGATTCTGGCTGGCCTTTACCCTTTTCTAAGGCAATACAGTAGTCTTTACCTCTATCTTACATCGGGTAGGAGTTGTCTCCCCCCTGCCATATAAGTGAACACTTTCTATGGAGGAGGTACCCACTAGGCACCTGATCAGGTCGCTAGTGGGTACCTCCTCCATAGGAAGTGTTCACTTATATGACAGGGGGAGAGACGACTCCTACCCGAGTGAGAGTGAAAACTTGAAGTGATTCCTTCCCCTAGGATGTTCAGAAGCAAGGATGGGTCTGCTAGCTTTGAGACTCCGGTGAAAGATTGGACAGTAGACACCGTAAGGAAAGAGATCTCCGACGAGGTTTCAGGCAAGGGCTCTCTGAAGAAGTTCGAAATGGCGAAATGAGAGAGGGACAAACACCCAATACGTTACGTATTAACACGTATCTCTTTGTCGGATATGGGGTACATCGGTCCCTACATGTACCACTCCCTCGGTACCGAGATGTACCCGTCCAGGTTGACATTTTCTGCTCCTGCAGAGGCTATTGATGTACAGGTCACTAGCCTAAGCTAGACTAGGTTAGCCATCATGACCTCATCTTTCACAATTGGTGTCAGAAGGCACGAGAAGACAGAAGACACAACCAATGGGGAATGGGCGCGTGACATATTGTGTCAGATCAGAGACAAAAAGACCGAGATGCCCTTGTTGACACACGACTTGGAAAGCAAACATTTAGTGCACCATTCCCTTGNGAGAGACGACTCCTACCCGAGTGAGAGTGAAAACTTGAAGTGATTCCTTCCCCTAGGATGTTCAGAAGCAAGGATGGGTCTGCTAGCTTTGAGACTCCGGTGAAAGATTGGACAGTAGACACCGTAAGGAAAGAGATCTCCGACGAGGTTTCAGGCAAGGGCTCTCTGAAGAAGTTCGAAATGGCGAAATGAGAGAGGGACAAACACCCAATACGTTACGTATCAACACGTATCTCTTTGTCGGATATGGGGTACATCGGTCCCTACATGTACCACTCCCTCGGTACCGAGATGTACCCGTCCAGGTTGACATTTTCTGCTCCTGCAGAGGCTATTGATGTACAGGTCACTAGCCTAAGCTAGACTAGGTTAGCCATCATGACCTCATCTTTCACAATTGGTGTCAGAAGGCACGAGAAGACAGAAGACACAACCAATGGGGAATGGGCGCGTGACATATTGTGTCAGATCAGAGACAAAAAGACCGAGATGCCCTTGTTGACACACGACTTGGAAAGCAAACATTTAGTGCACCATTCCCTTGATGAGACATCATTTAATGCAGGAAGACTCGAAAGTGAAAGGTAATAAATGTCCCTATGACTGGATATTTATTACATCTTTGCCGAGAAAAGCTCATTAAACATTCGGCAAGCCGATGACGAAACATTGATTGCTCGAGGTCTCGAGCAGTTAAGAGAGAAGACATTCCTCATAGAAATCAGTGCACACGTTGTCTGTATCTAATGATCACCTACTGACCACATTGACAGCAATCATGAGTTTTTGAGGTATAAGTACTCCTCATAAAAGGCAAGACGGTATGCAACAAAAAACTTTTTCTCAAAGAAATACACAGTGTTTTCTCCTTCCCATCTCTCAAAGAACTGACTTGATCGTCGGAGGGGATACGCCAAAAAACACTCCAGCGCCCTCCTAACTCATTTTTCTCTGTTCCAGGAACCTCCCTCAGCCTTTTTGGACCGCTCCGTTAATCCACAAAAATCACCCATTACCGTTCCAGGCCACCACCGGACCTCACAGTCTGTTCCAAGCAGCAAGGTTGACCATTCGATTGACTGACTCGAGTTCACTACTGAAGAGATCTATTCTCGTGTTTATATTGTACAAAATCCTGCACGCACAGTTATTTTCTAAACCACTAAACAATATAGAACATAGTTTTCTCAAAAGATAATGAAAGAGTTGTTTGATCACCTGCGAGGCCTACGAGGCAGACCACTTTAAGTCGACACTGAGAGCATTGAATAGTCACATAGATGATCTAAAGTTATATTCCATTGTTATCGTCGACTCTCTCACTAGTAGTTGGTTCTCTGAATCATTTTGATTTCTTTGAATACAATGGATCGTCGGACCACAAAACATTAATATTGAGTTTGGGAAAACCTTTTTCCCCATTACAAAATTAGGGTCTTACATGATTTGAGTTTTGATAGTTTTAACATTTTTATTATCTTTATTTGCTTTATCCTGATTTTTTATGAGCTTGGTTTGGTGTATTCAAAATTTCTATGATCTGGCCTGTTTTATTTAAGAGCAGCCCATACAATCAGACATG